CAACAACAACAACAAGCATTTAAGTGTCATCCATGCTTTACACTCTACCATTAACTATTATCATTATGTAAGGAATTCTGGTAGTGTAGTGGTTACCAATCATGCTGTGAACCACAAGCTCAGCAGTTCGAAACTACCAGCTGTCCCATGGGAGAAAGATGAAGCTTTCTGCTCCTGTAAAGATTTGCAGTCTCGGTAACCCTGTACAGGGTCACTATGAGTTGGAACCGACTACCTGGCACATAACAACAGTGTGACCTCATCATAGTTTGCTTGGGATATACCTAATTTTTGGCTATTTTATGGACAAAGATAATATTAAACATACTTTGAACCTCAAAAGTGGCCTGTTTTGGACAATAAATTATATAATTTATTTTATATAAATTTTTATAAGTTTATAAGTTTGTAGCCAACACTCTATATGCACTCAACAGTTAGTGATATCTAATAAATAAAAGAATTATGGTTTAGCAAATTGTTGTGAAGTGCCATCAAGTCAGTTCTGACTCACAGCCACACATGTGGTTTACAGTTCAGTGTTTACCCTACAGCACCACAAAGTCACTCACAGCCTTGTATTTCTTTATCATGCACTGGTCTTAAAACTTAAGTTTAAGAACATTCTAAATATCTGAATTTTAAAAAAGGAAGGTTTTACAATTAAAGGAAAGTTTTTACAATTAAAGTGTTCAAGAGCAGAGATATCACCTGACCCAAGCCATGGTATTTTTTAAATAGTCTCATATGTATGTGAAAGTTGGCCAATGAATAAGGAAGACCGTAGAAGTGTTGATACATTTGAGTTATGTTGTTAGAGAAGAATATTAAAGACATTAATCCTGGTGTGGTGCTGTGGGCTAATGCGTCAGACTGCAAAGTTGGTTGAACCACAAGGTCAGTGCTTCAAGCTCACCAGCTGCTCCTTGGAAACCCTATACAGGGTTGCTTTGGGTTGGAATTGACTCAACAGCACTTAACAACAACACTTGACTGCCAAAAGAACAAACATATCTGTGTTGGAAGAAGTATAGCCAGAATGCTCCTTAGAAGGCAAAATAGTCAGACTTCATCTCTCATAATTTGGACATATTATCAGGAGGGACCAGTCCCTGGAAAAGGACATCATGCTTGGTAAAATGGATGGACAGTGAAAAAGAGGGAGACCCCCAAAGAAATGGATTGGCACAGTGGTAGCAACAATAGGCTCAAGTGTAGCAGCAATTGTGAGGATGGCACAGGACCAGGCAGTATTTCATTCTGTTGTACATAGGGTCACTCTGGGTCTTAACCAACTTGAATGCACCTAACAACAGCAACAACCTTATAGGAAGCTGCAAGGCTGAGCTCAGGGTACCACATCTAAGGGGAAGGCTTTCCCTCTGTGCCAACTCTGGGCAAAGATATGTATTTCCTTTCAACATTTGTGGACCCAATGTTCATTGAAGATCTCCATGTTTTTTGGCATAAATATTCCCCTGGGTCTGGATTCTGGGTGAAGGGAAGTCAGGTCCAAAGGAGACACTCAACTCCCAGATCTTTTTTCTTGGTGGTCATCAGTTCCTTTCCTCTTTGCTCCTTTCTCTCTCCTTTTAACTTTTGTAAAATAAAATGTAATGTAGTATGGGGGGTCAGGGGGGTGAGGGGGTGGCTAAAAAGGCAAGAAGTGACTAGCTTACAAGCTTTCAAGAGAGAACCTAGATTCAGAGGGCATGGAGAAAGGTAGAATCTCCACTGAGTAGTAGCAAATCTGTCTAGGCAGGGCTGATGAAAGGAAATGTTGATAGGTTGTTTGTGATGCAATAGTGAATAATTGTTATCAGGACTGCTTGTGAGGGAAGGAAATGTAAAGGTAGATGTTTTGTAGCAAGGAGGGAGTGATTAACTTTGCAGTCTAGGAACAGAAGTCCCTGGGACCATGAAGGGAGAAGAGCGGAGAGCAGGACCCTACCCAGAGAA